TGGTAGCCGTGCACCAGGCGGCTTCCAAGGGTCAGTCTCTTCGGGGGCACTTTCCAGTCAAAGATGAGGTCAATATATGTCCGGGCAGCCCTCCCAGATGCCGCGGTCCTTGGCTTCCCAGTAGCCTCCCTTATAGATGTGGACCTGCTCCCCCGTGATCTCGTCTTCACAGCGGTCGAACCAAAGGGCCAGGTGGCTGTCATGAGGTGCGCCTGGAAAAAGAAGACAAAACAACGGTGTCACCAAAAAAGACAACAAGGTAGACAGGAGATTGGAACCGAATTAAAGCATGAGTTGTCGGTTGAATAGTGAAGGAGTACTTGCTTTTTAAGGACGGATCAGTTAGAGAGTCCTCATCGACAGCTTTTGGAAGAGAAAAGGGGATCACAGAGAATTTTTTAACCACTTCATTTTATGATTTTTCCCCATGCATGGTAGAGGGCAACACTTTTCCACTGAAATTAGTTCCGTCTAGGGCTAGTTTGGTTTGCAGTTGGTTCAACTTGCGAAACACTTGAGAAGCAGTTTGCTTTTCCACCAACCTCAGAGGAGGCATCACGTGAATAACCCTTAAATGAACAACAATGGTGGACCGCGGTGGAGCTGTGCTCATGTTGCTAAGAAGCTAAATCTACTTTTCTAACAATATACTCATCTCCAGAGTGACCTGGCTAATATTATGGCACTATGACTCAGCATTTACCGACCACTGGAGTGGTGTGCGGCTCATGCTTTACCGCTGAATTGCGACAGCAGTAGTAATTCACTTTCTCGCCAGTAACGCAGCCTGATGCATATTTTCTTCAGTTTTAATTGACAAAATATTGTAGCACAGCCTAGTTAATAAACAATGTGAAGTTTCTCTAGCTTCCAAAGCCAGTCTGACTATACAATAACAAGATTGAGAGCCAGCATTAAATAATACTTGAATAATACTTGCCATGTTTAATGGACGAATGCATGTCACAAACTATGCAACTCCACGTTGCGGAACATTAACCAGGCAGACAGATGGCATATTATTATTCACCATAAACGCTTTGAATTAGTAGTTACACTGAAATTGAACACAGGTTTTAATCAAAGTATGGTCAATAATTAATAATATGTGACACATATGCCAGGGTAGTGTTGCGTTATGTATATATATATATAATGTGTTGGCGCGTTCTAGACTTCCTACTCTGGCTCCGCCGCAGATTCTGACATTAGCGTCTTATGCTCTTTGTTATTGGACTCGCAGGGCAGATACTTGGTTCCTGAGTTGAACCCGTTTTCAGGGTCAAGAGCTTGCGCTGCTGCAGTTGAACTACTACACTAAAACTGGTTTTAGTGAACACACGCTGGACTCTCACCTTCCTCTGGCTGGCTGGCGGTGCGTTGGCTGGCGGCTTCCCTCTCTCTCTCCCGCCGGACGATGCGCTGCTTCTCCTCCAGCCGCTGCTTCTCCGAGTTGCCTTCGTCCCAGCGGCCTTCCTCCATCAGGCGCTGGTCGGGCCGGCGCCGGCTGTCGGTGGGCGATATGCCTTCCTCGTATTCATTTAGGGTCAGCGCCAAGGAGGTAAAGTAGTACATGGTATCTGCTCCCTCACTGTGGTACGACAAAGGAGAGATACACAGCAGTACTCAAATCAAAAGGCTCAATAGACCATGACATTCTGTTAAGTTATAATATATCCGCTCCTTATCTCTGCAAGACTACATTGTATTTTCTGGTTCTTTATCTCTGCCTGACAGCAATTATCTCTATGATTGATGAATTCCAGGCTCTAAATGAATTCTGAATCAGATTCTTTAGCATGTTACTCAAGAAACAAAATATATGCTTAACAGGTCCGACATTGGATTCATCAAGATATTCTGATTTGGCTCCACTTCCTGTGTGACTCATAAGGCCCACCCATCTAAGTATTAACAACCAGAATTATCTTTGGTACGTCTTTGCTGTGTCACTGCTTTACAGTCGGTTATATGAGAAAGATAGAGGTTCAGACACCTAACCCTGAGGGACTTACGGTAGAGGGTTCCTCCTCCAAACCTCTCTGGCTTTCAGGGTTTGATAGACCGTCTTCTGTTTGCCCTCGGTGCCGTTCTCTCCTCCGAGGCTGCTCTGCATCACCCGGGAAAACTCCATCTTCTCGTCCCACGTGCCCGACAGCACGTAGTGGGCCTTGCCGTCCTTGTCCATCACCACACCTGTCACCTGAAGAAAGGAGGAAAAGAGTGTTAAAAACATCAAATAGAATCTGTCATAGGTCTATGTTTATGCATCTTCTTCTCACCTTTCTGGCCACATCTCTGGAGAAGTAACTGTAGGGAGCAAACTTCAGGTGGCAGCGGTCTCCTGTGGTGTGGTTCACCACGTCTATCTCTCCTGACTGGCAGAGAGAACAGCAAAGAACGATTTAAAGAAATAAATAAGGTTTTTTTTCTTTTTAAATATCTATTGTCTCACGTTTCCAATTTCGGGTTGGCAGAATGACAATAAATACACTTTCTAAAAAGGGTTATATTTCAACACCAGTGGTTCAAAACCGGGGGTAGGTGGACCCCTAGCAGTACTTGAGGGGATTGCATGGGGTATGTAGGAAGATAAGAGATTGCAATATTTCTACACAAAAAGATATTTTGAAATCTACTTTCTGGCCCAGTTTAGAGGTGGACTGTGTGATTTTACAGTTTATACAATTGTAAAATGTACATATGTCTCACCTGATCGATCCACAGCTTCCCCACGATGATGTTGTGTACTGTGGTGGTGACTTTCTTCCATGTGTAGTGATTGTTGCCCTTCTCAAAGATGGCGTGAATGGTGCCTGCGGGGGGAGAGAAGGAACGCAGACGGTGGAACCAAATATTTGTCATGTGTCAAAACAAACCATTGTTTGTTATTGATATATATTTAGACGTCTAGCTGTCTTTAAACAAAGGTGTGACTGCGGAATTCTTTATGCTTTCTGTACGTATCTATTATTAGGCTGTCATAAGTGGTTTGTCTTCATGGAAATAACCGCAACGTGGGATCAAACCCTAAACCTACGTCAACATCAGACCGGAAGGCATGTCAAATATGTCCACAAACCACACCGTCACTTACCTAAAGGCATAATGGAGAGGTATTTTCCCCTGAACTTGCTGGCAACAGTGATTTCCTGCCTCAGAGTCCATCCGCGATCCGAGATCACATGGTGCGCTGCCGCGGGGGGGTGGTGACTGACCTGAGAGAGAGGTTAAAAAGTGATGCATGGATTCGTTTATAAAAAAGAGCACTGGAGAGATTAAAGTTTGTTAAAGTGTTTTTTTCTTTTTTGGTTTGAATAATCTCTAATAGCTATGACTCACATTAGTGTTATATAAAAACAGAATAACTGGCCGACCTATCATCACCATGAAAAACCCTATTGTTACACGTACTCTGTAAATATCAAATATAATTATACTACTTATAGTACAAAAGGGTTTATCTGCTACTTCATCATTTTTATTAAAAGCTTTAGTGACTTAATTAAACTTCTATTTATCTATGAATATAAAATCTCATGTCTTAATAAATCCTTCTCCACTTTTCAGAAATGTTTTCAGAAATGTAAACCTTTTAGCCGGTCTAATGTTCCAACACTAAGCCTGAATTCTGTGTTCTGCAATTCACAAATTAATTTCCCGACTCGGCCTTTAACACCCTTTCCTTCTTCAGAGAAATTGCTTTTTCATGGATGTTAATGCATTGCATACAATCACTCCTCTGACCCTCATTCATGATAGACCTGCTCTCTTATCCCCAGTGAAGTAGATTTACTCAAACAATGCACTTAAGTACAATTTCTAGGTACTTTACCACTCATTTTATTCTACTTTGTACTACTAGTCCACTACAGTGCAGAGGTAGATTGTGTACTTTTACTCCACTCCATTTATTTAACACCTTTAGCTACTTTGCAGATTTGGATTAATGATGTGAAATATAATCACCCTGCCGTTTAAAAAGTAATTCAAATCTGCCAGCTTTGAAAAGACTCTCATGCATGAGTAATTCTAATCGAAACATATCATATATATTATTCTGAAACGGACCAATCTGCATAATGAGTACTTTTACTTTTGGTAATTTAAGTACATTTTGATTGCAGGGCTTTTACTTGCATTAGTATTCCTACACTCTGGTACTTCTTCTTTTATTTAAGTTTAAGTACTTTTTTCACCTGTGTTTATTCCTGGTTAGAATAGTTGACAAATGCTTCCTCTGTGCATTCCTAAATACATCAGAAAAAGGAAGCAAAACACTCCGAAAATGCTGAGCCAACAGGATCTTTCATGTCTTCCTTCGTGGCATTGCTGGATCTCACTTCCCTGCGTGTCTGCATGCTTGTCTGTCTCTCACCTGTTCGCAGAGGGAGCGGTAGCCGCTCTCTCTCCGGCGGTCCAGCTCGTACGTCTCTCCCAGCAGGGGGTTGAAGGGTTTGCCCGTGCGGTGGACGGTGGTGGAGTAGGAGGACACGGAGAAGGCGGCCACGTAGCACATCTGCTCCAGGGAACTCTGGCACTTGGAGGCCTTGTCCAGCAGCTCGTGGTACTCCAGGTCCTCTGACAGCCGCTGCAGCATGGAGATGGGCTCGTTGAAGTTTACCTGGAGAGCAGAATTACTCACATGTGAATCCTTATCATTTAAAGTGCCCATAAAATGACGTTTGAAATCTAAATGTATACTTTTAATGTCTTCCTAGGAGAAGGCCCACTCACAGATTGACACACATTGAAATACAGGGCATTCACTTATATGATATGACATACTGTACATTATATGAGCCCTCTCAATATACAGGCTAATATGATGTTTTTTATTCTGATAACAGTATAGAAGCATCAGTATAAACAAGCTACATTGATAGGGATCCTTTTTTTGTATTTCCTGTCAAATTAAATAATATAGTTTTTAGTAAGAATATACTAGTTTGATAAAGGGTAATAAGATTATGAGTATTGTATTATTGCCAATAATTAAATCAACATGTTCCACTGTTGTGTAGATGAACAGCAGTCATTGTTATTATGGATATATAATAATAATAATCATAATAATAATAAGGACTGCTGTTAACAATGGTTATATGATTTTGGGGAGGCCAGGACTGTATGATAATATGTTCTATATTATTTGTAGTTCTTTTGTCCAGCTTCCATTTGATTCATAACTCGATTATGTGCTTTTTATAGCTTTTTTCATTTGTTTCATTTGATTTTACAATGTTTGTCGCCCCATGTCAGATGTGTTCTTTGCATTCTGTTTTTGTTTCTCTTCATTGTGTGAAAGTTGTGTGTGTATTTACAAACCAAGCGCCTCAAATGTTGTTTTTGAAAGATGAAGAAACTTGCACGCTATGGCAGATCGTTTTTGATCTAAACGAAACTAGGGCCAACAAAAGAGCTAAGTAAAGACCGGAGATTGTTAACCGACAACACTTGATCGTCACTGGTCCCATTAATCTGTCAATAGAGCCATTTTAAACTTGGATGGCTCTGGCAGAATGTTGTTCAACAGGAAATGAAGACAATCTGTGTTTTTGATTCTCCTGGCATCACCTTAATGTTTTGGTGCCAGAAGTCAATCAGTCGCTTAAAACATACTTGTTAGCTTGTTTGACTGAATGCATTCTTGCAACAAAGAATTTAAAAGAAAAGGTGGAGTCCTTTCTGGTCATGTCAACTAACATCATTCCTGTAAGTGACATCTGATCTGGATTAACCTCTTATAAATACTCACAGGCATTGGGATTTTGGACAGCTCTTTGCCGATACAGTTCTTCATGATACTCCACAGATTGAGAGAATAGTTAGGTTTGTCTGCAATGCGTGTCCGCCGCTTCTTCAGCGGCACCAACTCCTGAGAGGGGGATTCCTGGTTCATCGCAAGAGGCTCCTCGTTGAGCTAAAATGCAAAAAAATAGGTCAATAACAAGCATAAAAGTGTGTGGAAATAAACGCTTTTAAAAGTGATTTACAAGCTTTGTGATTAAACATCTGTCTGATCTGATTTATTATGACTGTAGCACAATCAAAGCATTCATATTTGGAAATGTACCACCCCTAGTTCACTATGGTTTACCTTATAAACAGCGAACCATTCTTTTAACAGTCAACCCAGAGGTCAGAGTGAAACCTACCGATTGATCATCAGGACACATTTCACTGTTGAAACCGCTGATATTACTGCTTGACCTTCTGTAAAGAAATGCAAAAGGGTGAGGAGTATCTGTCAGTGTCAGGGAGGTTTCTGGTTTCAGCCACTTCAAAATACAAGGAAATAGAGAGGGGATTACTTCAACTGATACGAATCGATCCAAATAAATCAACTGTTTCACAATTAAAGAAATGCCAAAACATTTACCCATTTACATACAAGGAACTTAAAAGTAAAAAAAACAGAAGTCTTAAGAGATAAGACAAGGACGTGTTTCCTTGTGTGCCTGCATGTGCAGGAACCATGTCACACCAGGTGATGTGTTTCCTTGTCTGACTGCATGTGCGGGAAACATGTCACACAAGGTGATGTGTTTCCTTGTGTGACTGCATGTGCGGGAAAAAACATTTCTAACAAACGGCATTAGTTACACACCCAACTCATCAATTACAGCTTTGCACATGCTGCTATTTCTTTATAGCAGGCAGTTACCGAGAATACAGTTCAATTTCCGAACAGAGAGGCATTTTTGTTTTAGTGTGAGAATGTTAAAAGACAGGAGCAAAAGCAAGCTGCTCTCTCTGTCCAGTTTCGTTACGCAATAACGACCGTGGGGGAAGGAGTGTGCACTTACTTGTGAAAGTGGGGGTCTGCAGGGACAGTGATAAACTCAGGAGCCTCCTCCATGGCATCAAAGAACTCGTTGTCGTCTTCTTCGTCGCTCCCCTCACCTTTTCCCGGGCCAGAAGCACCTTAGAAAACAATGGAATCAGTGTTATATGACGTAGTGGCTGATAACAATTCATAATTTACTAAACCCTAGTTTTTTCACAGATGAATATAGTGGAAACAAAGCCTTATTGCTGATAACAATTGACAGTTCAATGTACAAAAGGTGTTTTGAGGGACATGCCTTTTAAAGCATTTAGAGATTTGAGAAAGAAATCAGTCAAATGAAGATAGAGGAGTTATAGCAGGAGTTTTCAGGTCACTTGTTGTGTAGTGTTCAGAGTCACGCCTTACTTTCATTGTCTGCAGTGGCATTAGACTGTGAAGCCCCTCTGAAGGCTCGCTCCAGGTGGTTGTGCTGCTTGGCCAGCTGCTCTAAAGTCTCCTCCAGCCTAACCCGCTGGTCCCGTTCTGCCTGAAGGGCCTTCTGCAATCGCTTGCTGTGAGTCTGAGCCAACGCGAGGAAGTCTCGGCACGCCTGAGGGGGGACATATCAAACCGGGTCAAACTAGAACCATTAAGACCCAAGATACAATAATTATGAGCAATTTTGAAAAGTTATTATGGCCTTCACAGAGTACAAGTTGCATGTAGTATAGATTTAAATAGCCCTGTTTTATTTACACATTATATATGAAAGACAAGGCAAAGAAACATGCAGACAAAGGAGGAAACGCCTACATTTATCATGGCATTAGAGGTGATACGGAACAGCGTGGCCCTCTCTGTCACCTGACGGATCTTATCCCCAGCTTCTCCGGTAAGACGCAAACTGTCCAGTTCTGATAAAGACCTGAAATATATATCATAAGGCACAACAATATATGAGCGAATCACAGTGTAAATCCCAATTAGCTCGAGATTCAATGGTTTTAACTAGGCATTGTTGCTGTTTTGCAAATAGTTCAACACCTTTATTTGGTGAGTTTATGCCAACGAAACAGCAAAAATGAGGATACAAGGACAAAACTCGGGGTTATCATGCCAAACATTAGTATTGTGCGTGTATGTTGAATACGTTTTTGATTCCGTATTTCTAAGCTAAGATGACATGAGAAACTTTGGACTGAGGGAAGCAAAGGTAAAGCAAAAAAATAAGAACCAAAAAGTTGGTAAAGCCTGACCTCTGGAGGGCAGAGCCATGCTTTGAAATGAGGTCGTTGCAAGTGCTGAGATCCTCCACCTTGCTGCCTAGTGTTCGGAGAGCAGACTGCACTTCGGAATTCTGCGAACCGCCACCTTGTCCGGGTGCGGTGGGCGGGGATGATGAGGGAAAATCATCCCCCGAGTCATCTGTTAGAGATCAAAGCAACAGCAAGTTTCAAGGCTTCTATTGTCATGTGTGCATAGCTACAGTGTATTATGACAATGAAAATCTTATGTAGGAAGGAACCTTCAGCTGAAAGGCAGATAAGGCTCTATGAATTCCCCTATCTTGTTGCAGACAATCCGGTTTACAGTGCACTGATTAATATCTTTTTTTCCCCCCATCTGCCTGTGTGTTTGTTTTACCTGACTCAGCCTGCATGCGGGCCGCCTTGGCTTTGGCCAGTTCCAGGGCAGTGATCCAGCGCTGGCGTTCCACTTCACAGCTGGCCTTCAGGTGATACGTCTGCGCTCCGCCATTGGAGATGACAAAGTTGCAGGCGTCATCCACGGTGATGGTTGCCGTCGCCAGGTTGATTGTGCCTCGACACGTGTGGCCCATCTCTGCCTGGGTCCTAATAATCAGAGATGTCCATTTTAAATAATGGGGTTGTAAAAATGATGTATGTACTGTTTGGAATCATTAACCTAGGCTTTAATCTGAAAGCATTTGGTAAAATAACAGGAATATATATGGAGGATGTAAGATTGATTGTACCCTTTGGATTGTACAGATAGTAGAGTGTAATTAAACAGTAGTTGCAGCAGAAGGTCAAGATGTTTATTTAGTGACCTGATAAAGGCCTTATCTTTCCTCCTATGTTTCTGTTTCACAGGAAAGTGTACCTGTAGTAGGACAGCAGCCCATTACTCAGGACAAACCACCTCCGCTGATAACCCTTGATGTAATTTGTCCACTTGAACACCCATCCTTTGTATGTGTCGCCAGCAGGAGTGGGAACGGGGGTCTTCGGCTCCGACATCATAGCCCCCAAAATCAGGAGACGGATTTGAGGAACCTTTTAAAGAAAAATAAAAGTTCAACATATTAACTTGACAAGGATTATGCTCCCCTGTAAGGCTGAAATTATTAAACAGTTAGTATGTCGCCGAAGAATGAATCAGCGATTGTTTTATTAATCATTTTAATCATCCTCAAAGGCTGAACTGCCACCTAGTCACGGCCTAAAGCTTCCTTAGTGAGCATATTTACTGTTGATCTTGTGCATTGTGAAGTTGCAATACATTAGGAGGCCTAAAACATTATATGGGTGAATAATCAGCAGAAAAAAAACAATGAAATGTGGGTTAGTCAAAGCCTTAGTTCAGTACTAAACCACTTATAGCGTTGTACTAGACTATATGATTTAATAATGGTGGTTGATATTGATCTTTCAATGTGGAGTGACAGGTCAAAGTTCAACAGTGGGGATCAAAAGACTAACTTCTAAAACAAGTTTCAAACAAAACTATGTACATAAAAGAAAGACTGAATGTGACTATAACAACTCAGTTTGATTATGTTTTCTAAAATGACTATGAACTTAATATTATCAACTGTCACAGATACCATGACTTAAAAACGACGCTTACATTTTCTTTTCAGGTATATGTGAAGGAGGTTCAATTATAACAACACAAGAAAACAAGATGATAACAGCATACATTGCATAAAACTTTGACATATTGTTGAGTTTCACATTAAAGCTAGTTAGCTCCAGAAAGGCTAGTGGGAGTCACAGTAATAACAGCTCATTGCAAGAAAGGGAGCGAAAGTAAAGAAATTCGACATGTTTGCTCGAAGTTAACCATCTGACCAGTGCATATGTCATATACGGTAAACACATGATACGTGGCAAAACAATCGTTAGCTTAGGAGCTAGTTTTTAAACTCGTCGATTGCTAAGTGTTTACCTTGACGTGTCCGAAATGTGAGATCAGGCAACCAGACACCAAGTGAAGTCACAGCTAACTTTGACACCCATACGCTACTGTACTTAGCTAGCTGAAGAGGCTAACTAGCTAACCGACTGTCACGGGAAAGCAAATTATCAAGACAACTAAACAGAAGACGTCGACGACAACAGCAGTGTGTTGATGAAATAAAGTGACACCAGCGAGTTTCGTTAGAGTCCCTCAACAATGTGGTGTATTGTGTTCATTCTACAGCTACGTACACCGACAATAACCTAAAGCTAGCAAGCTACATCTAACTAGCCTAACGTTAGCTCGCTGGTTACACCCGGTGCAACACAATTTGTTCTCGTCTAGAAACAGCTAGGCTACAATGTTGTCCCGATTGGCTGCAATCTGGACGGTAGACGGGACGAAAAAGGACTTTTTGCCTTCAAAGTAATAGTACAGTGTGTCAGTATTTGCCACATAAAAACAAGTCATACTATTAAGTGTTAATCTCTATCAAAGGCCATTTAAATACACGTTGTACTGTATATTTATATTAATCCGTAATGACATGGGTTTTCTTGTTTTGTTGATAGTGGATTATCACTATATTTATTAATACATTAGTTAGTTAGATTACTATTATTTTACTCCTTTAATTGTGTTTAATTTTGAAATATACAATCGGAAACCAACTTGATTGTTTCGTGCGAAATTGACAAACAGTTGAATATTAACTACTAACCAGCTAGCTTAGCTACGTTTATCACAGATGTATCATAGAGTTTAGTTTTAAAAGAATACCTCCGTGACGTTAACCTTAGCCACAAGTGTCAAATAAATTGACATTAAATAACAATTAAAATGTACTAAGATATTTAGAACAGATAGTAGTATATGTTATTGATGTTAACGTGGAGGTTGGTTGCCGGCTAACTAACGTTACCATACCCTGAAAAATGTAAAAAAATGTAACAGACTACACTGAGAAGTGTGAATTTGTGATTATTATTAAATGAGGGCGAGTCCGATACCATGTGACAAATAAAGTGCTCAAACAAAAATTCGACTCCGGTGGGACTCGAACCCACAACCTTTGAATTACTACATTGCAACCTAGAAGTCCAATGCGCTATCCATTGCGCCACGGAGCCACCTGTTGCACACAATATCCATTGTAGTATTTCAATTACCTTTGTGATAATACTGTATAAATTAGTATTTTTATATTAACACCGATGACATTTTACCACATCTCACCTTGAATTAGCGATATCTATTGTTAAATGGACTTTATGAACCTGCAGTATGAAATATTGACCACTAGGAGACGCTAGAAGACCGTGCAGAACAGGTTCCGCCGTGTGAAATGTTGACCACTAGGGGGCGCTCAAAGACCGTGCACAACCGATTCTGCAGTATAAGGCCAAATTCCAGCCAAAGAAATCCTAACCGCTCCCTGTGAGCCTGTGAGTCGAGCTCATTCTTGGTAACGACAGCCAATCAAGGTCACGTCTGCCACCAAGATTCTACCAAGAATTGAGAGCTCTGGCCAATTAGCGCCCGTATTGCTACCAAGAATTGCCCCAGCAACCAAGAATTGACCAATCAGCGTCTCCGTAGGCGGGCTATACTCTGCGGACGCCGCGAGTGAGAGATTCACTTTTCACGAAAGTAAGTACATCATCCTTTAACTATGTTGTAAATGCTTATAAACTATCATATTAGATGTATAGATATATTTTAACTAAACAACATGTTGCACAGGGACATTTTACTAATGACTAGCGAACCGGACATGTCCCGTAACCGTTCCATGTACGTGATGTTTACCGGGAGCGGATTATTATGTACATGTATGTTGAATTTAATGTTGACATATCTGGCTAAATAACACGCCTGTTTATGACATTAACCAGCTTAAGTTAAGGACTAACATAAATTATAACTATGAGCTAGAGAGAATCTCGGACGGGAGCGGGCGGAGCTTCTTTTATTGTCTTTTTTTTCGGCAGCGACCGACGTGTTTTAAAAGTGAATTTAGTCTTATTTATTATTATTATTATTATTTCTTATATTAATTTAATCTTGCGAGCTTTAACAGCATGATATACAAATAAATCAAGAGCAAAACAAATCTTGCCCTTGACTGTAACCGGACACCTGTTTTTATTTCACCATTAATTTAAATACTAAACCTCACTTGTAAACAATGAAAGTCCGGGGTGGACAGTGAAGGGAAGTTACAATGCAGTTAACACTTTTATTATGAAATACTTGTACTTGAGTAGGCAAGCCTGTTTCCACTATAATTGAGAGGAAATTATTAAATAGTTAGTATGAAGGTCGAGTTTTTCATACAAAATATAGGCTATTTATACATTTCGATTGATTGATTACATTTAAATGCATAATCTGCATTTGTACTTGTTTTTATTCATCTTTAATTTGTATTGTATGTAGTCATCAGTTTTTCTTTGAATCAATATGTAATCTTTTAGAGCTTGTTTATTAAATATTTATTATAAAAAAGAAAAACTGATGACTACATACAATACAAATTAAAGATGAATAAAAACNTTTGTTGCCTCAGGGCAACAATGTGCTACGAGGGTATTGAAACACCAAGGATTTCTACAATTCAGAAGAAATAGAAAAAACAACTGGATATGAATTAAAAAGGTTTTCTGTGTCTGTCTGTTTGTCTGTCTGTCTGTCTGTCTGTGTGCGTGTGGCTATGTGTGTGTCTCTCTGTGTGTGTGTGTGTGTGTGTGTGTGTGTGTGTGTGTGTGTGTGTGTGTGTGTGTGTGTGTGTGTGTGTGTGTGTGTGTGTGTGTGTGTGTGTGTGTGCCTAACCCTATCTTGACCTTCACTGTCCTCACTGTCAGACGGAATAGCCCTAACAGCCTGATCGTGTCCCTTCTGCCCATAACATGTTTTGGGGTCCATTTCCTGTAAATATCAGTAGATGGTAAAGTAAAAACATTGATTAGGTTTATCATTTTACAGCTGAGCACATTTGCACACTTGCATGATATTGCCTGGAAAAAAAGTGGTCTAAGGTCTAAGTGGCACTGTTGCCCTGAGGCAACGAACAAAAAAACATAGTTTTAGCTAATTAATAAATACATAATAAGTCTTTAAACAATCAAATATACTTCTTTACGTATTCATACACATGCATGTATTTTTTATTTTAAGTTGTGTACATTTCTAATATGTTAAAAAGTGAAATGTATCTTACCAAGTGGTGGCCCTGAGTCCCCTGCAGTTTTGCTTGCAGAAAGTACTGCTCCACCCCCAGACAAAATGCCACACCCATATAATTCCCTCATTTTATTGGACACCAGCATGTCAGGTGACATTGTGTATATTTAAAAAAATAAAAATATTTAGAGGGCCAGTGTGAGGTCGAAAAAAGTGGTTTGTTGCCTGAGGGCAACACTATGCCAGAGGATTGGTTTGTGTTTGAAGTCTTTAAAAAGTAATTATGTGCCTTTATCCAAGATCTTTTATTTTATTTTGTGAAGTCAGGTCATCAATGACATCAGATTTACTGAACTGTTACAGTCTCAAGTCAAAAGCATCTGACTGAATTTTGCAGAAAAGGTTGTAGATACATGAGTATTCAACAGTCCACACTGAAAACAAACAGTGGAACTAGACACTTTGTTTTTTTTTAGCTTTTGCAGGATGAAACTTCAGCCACATGGTCAGAGAAGACAGACGCTTTGTGCTTCATATTATTCTCTGAAATTCCACAGGTTCTCATAAGTGAAGATCAATTGGTCTTTTTTTATTTTGTAGTATAATTAGATTGAAGAACCAGCACCTTACCGTGGTAGAGAGGTTTGTGTGCCCTGATGAACCTGGGGGCTGTGTTGTCTGGAACCTTGTGTTCCTGGTAGGGTCTCCCATGGCAAATTGGTCTCAGGCAAGGGGCCAGACTAAGATTGGTTCAAAAGACCTCACGAAAGACGACACACAAAGTGAGGATACCCGGCCCGGAGGAAGTCCGGGGTCCCCTTCTGGAGCCAGGCCCAGAAGGAGGACTCGTCGGCGAGCGTCTGGTGGCCGGCCTTGCCACGGAGCCCGGCCGGGCAAAGCCCGAAAGGGCAAGGTGGGCAACACCTCCGCTTCTCCGTCCCACGGGCCCACCACCTACGGGAAACCGCGAGTGCGGGTGCGCTGCCAGAAGGGTGGCAGTGAAAGCAGAAGGTCTCGACGGACCAGACCCGGGCGACAGAAGCTGGCTTTGGGGACGTGGAACGTCACCTCTCTGGGAGGGAAGGAGTCGGAGCTTGTGCGGGAGGTGGAGTGTTACCAGTTGGATCTGGTTGGGCTCACCTCTACGCACAGCGTCGGCTCTGGAACCTTACTTCTGGTGAGTAAATATTAAAATCAGTTAAAATTGACAACCGGTCCGCGATGTTTTTGAATGTATCTGCCGGTCAATGGCACAATAAAGGTNCACACACACACACACACACACACACACACACACACACACACACACACCGAGACACACACAGACACACACACACACACACACACTCACACACACAGACACAGACATACAAAGACATACACAAACATACACACATACAAACACACAGAGACACACACAGAGAGACACACACACACACACACACACACACACACACACACACACACACACACACACACACACACACAGACACACACACACACACATACACACACACACACACAAACATATACACACGCATACACAAAGACATACAAACACACACATACACACACATACACACGCATACAGACACACACACACACACACACACACACACACACACACACACAAAACACAGACAGACACAGACACACACACACACACAGACACACACACACACACAGA